CCGCCTCAAGACCCAGCGATGCCTCCAGGCTGGCATCACTCCTCGTCTTTCAGTCGGGGCCCTGAAGAAGGAGCGCTTTTTGTTGGGAAGGGGCTCGGTGTTCCTTGATTGTTTTACAGTTTGCCTCGGGTTCCCCTTAGGCTTTTGCATGGGAAGTCGAAGTTTAATGCATGGAAAAGAGGGGCCTCGTTCCTTATTTAGGATTCCTTAGGTCAACGCCCCGACTGTACCCGTCTGCTTCCTCGCTCATCCCGCTTCTTGTCACTCGGCTCCAGCGCTGGTTCCAGGTCGGGGAGGATGTCTGTGCTGGTGTGGACTGGGAGGGGGTGGTGGGCGTCCTGCTGAAATCCCCCCGTCCTGGAGAATGGCTGCCCTCAAGACGTGGTCAGGGGGATGGGTCACGGACACGCGCATGCGCAATCCTGACCTCATGTGTCTTCTCGGCTGCGAGTGCCCCGATTGCCTCTCCCACTACGTGCGATGTCCTGGATTCCTTTCCCTCGTCGGGTCCGTGTCGGGCTCGGGTGTTGACCCGTTCTTGCCCCGCCGATTGGCCATCTTGGACCCCTCTCTCCCGAGACTTCGACAGCTGGTGATTATTTTCCACCACCGTCTCCTCCATCAGGCGAGGAGACGTCGTGGTCGATGGTGTCCGAGTGCCGACGAGTCGCGGAATTTCGCGACGGCGGCAGCACTCGCGGCCGACACTCCGATGGGGGAGTGGAGCCCGGTTTTGAGACGTAGGCGTAGCAGGCAGGCGTAGGCGATGATGACGAACTGCATCTCGACGCTTTGCCTCCCCCTCCTCCTCCTCCTCCTCCTCCCCGTCCTTCTCCTCCTCCTCCTCCTCCTCCTCCTCCTTTGCCTCCTGCTCCTCCTCCTCCTCCTCCTCCCCCTCCTCCTTGTCCTCCGAGGGCGTCACCCGGGCCGGGGGCGGCGGTGGCCAGATCCCCCGGGGAACTAGAGTATGCCACCCAGTCCTCCGGGGGGAGGGGGGGTCGGTTTTAGCCATCCGTCTGCGCCAGACCTGTGGCTCGGCTTTGGGGACGGTCTGGCGGACCCCTCCCTTCTCGGCGAGGGGGCGGCACACCCACCCCCAGCTCTGGCCCGCCGCGCCTGCTCCCTGGAGGCCCTGGTGCGCTGGCTGTTTTCTCGACTCAGGAGGAGGAAGAGGAGGAGGAGGAGGAGGAGGAGGAGGAGGAGGAGGAGGAGGGGGAGGGGGAGGAGGAGGAGGGAGGAGGAGGAGGAGGAGGAGGAGGAGGAGGGAGGAGGAGGAGGAGGAGGAGGAGGAGGGGGAGGGGGAGGGAGGGAGGGAGGGAGGGGGAGGAGGAGGAGGAGGAGAGGAGGAGGAGGAGGACGACGACGACGACGACGAGGAGGAGGAGGAGGAGGAGGAGGAGGCCGAGGCTGGCACCCCAGAGCCGCTGCGCCATCCCGGGTCCTGGGGGGGATGGAGCCCTTTCGGGTGGCGGGCGGTGCGCCGCGCCGCCCACTGGGGAGGCTCTGTTGCGGAGGTGGGCACTCGCTCGCCTTCAGGCCGCGCGCATCCTCTTCCTCCTCATCCTCCTCCTCCTTTTCCTCCTCCTCCTCCTCCTCCTCCTCCTCCTCATCCTTCTCCTCCGCCTCATCATCATCACCACCATCATCATCATCATCATCATCAGCATCATCATCATTATCATGAGCATGATCATCATCATCAGCATCATCATCATCATCATCGTCATCATCATCATCACCAGCATCAGCATCAGCCCCATCATGGTTGCCATCGTCATCATAATAATAAGCATCGTCGTCAGCATCCTCATCATCAGCAGCAGCAACAGCATCATCATCATCATCACCATAATCATCAGAATCCGCATCATCATCAGCAGCATCGTCGTCAACGTCGTCATCCTCATTATGATTATCACCATCATCAGCAGCATCAGCAGCATCATCATCAGCAGAATCAGCATCATCATCACCATCATCTTCAGCATCATCATCATCGTCGCCATCATCAGCAGCATCATCACCAGCAGCACCATAATCCTAAGCATCGTCATCGTCGTCATCATCGTCATCGTCAGCCTCATCAGTATCATCATCACCAGTGATCATCATCATCATAATCATCACCATCGTCATCATTATTAGCAGCAGCCTCATCATCAGCATCAGCGTCAGCCTTATTGTCATCGTCATCATCATCACCAGCATCATCACCTTCATCAGCAGCAGCAGCATCAGCATCGTCATCATCCTTATCGCATCGCCATTGCCGTCGCCATCGCCACTTCCTTCGTCGTCATCATAATCAGTATCATAATCATCATCGTCATCAGCATCTTCATCATCGTCAGCACGTTCATCATCACCAGCATGACCATCATCCTCACCAACATTATCTTCTTCATCATCAGCAGCACGATCATCAGCATCGTCAGCACGATCATCATCATCATCACCAGCAGCATCATCATCATCGTAGCCATCAGCATCATCATCATCATCAGCAGCAGCAGCATCATCGTCGTCCGAATCATCATCAGCATCACCATCAGCATCACCATCATTATCATCATCAGCAGCATCATCAGAGTCAGCATCGTCATTGTCATCACCGTCACCCTCAGCATCAGCAGCATCTGCATCGTCGCCATTGATATCAGCATCGTCATCATCCGCATCATCGTCATCATCACCACCATCGTCAGCATCACCATCACCATCATCAGCATCATCATTACCATCATCATGATCCTCGTTTTCGTTCTCGTCTTAGTCTTGCTCGTCCACAGCTCGCTCACCGCTGCCGTCCCCCCTCCAAGACGTCATCATAATCAGTATCAGAATCATCATCGTCATCAGCATCTTCATCATCGTCAGCACGTTCATCATCACCAGCATTACCATCATCCTCACCAACATCATTTTTTCCATCATAATCAGCAGCACGATCATCAGCATCGTCATCATGATCATCGTCATCATCACCACCAGCAGCCTCATCGTCATCATCATCGTAGGCATCAGCAGCAGCATCATCATCGTCGTCCGAATCATCATCATCAACATCATCATCAGCAGCATCATCATCAGAGTCAGCATCGTCATTGTCATCACCGGCACCCTCAGCATCAGCAGCATCTGCATCGTCGCCATTGGTATCAGCATCGTCATCACCTGCATCATCGTCAGCATCACCATCACCGCCAGCATCACCACCATCAGCATCATCGTCACCATCACCATCATCATCATCCTCGTGCTCGTCCCCGTCTTTTGTCTTGCTCGTCCGCTGCTCGCCCACCGCTGCCATTGCCCCCTCCGAGACGTCCTCTCGCGGAGGACCCGGCGCAGCCCGCGGTCGACCCGAGCAGCTCGTTCCTCAGGTGGCGCACCTCGGCCACGGCGAGGCGGTCGCTGATGCAGGCGGGGCTGCGGCGCCGGGGGGGGCAGGTCGGGGGAGGCGGGCGGCGAGGCCGTCGCTCGAGAGCTGGGCGAGGGCTGCCAAAACCGTGGTTGCTAAAACGGCCCTCTGGGGGAGAAAAAAAAAAAAAAAAAAAAAAAAACAAAAAAAAACTCCCCGGAAGGAGGCGCGGCACGCGAAGCAATCCACGGGCGTCTTCCCGGAAGGACGGAGACGGCTTCCCGGAGGTCGATTTTGGCAGCCACGGATTTAGCAGCCTTTGCCCGGCTTCCGGGCCGCGGAGGCCAAGGAGGAAGAGAAGGAAGAGGCCGCGTGCTGGCGGGCGGCGAAGCTGGCAGAGTCAGGTAGGCGTTGGTGCTCGCCGTCGCTCACCTCGTCGTCGCGCTGCCTTGCCTTGCTGAAAGTCCCTGTGGTGCTCCGAGGGTGGCAGTGCGAGTTTCGACAGATTCGCCTCATGCAGCAGGAGAAGGACGAGGAGGAGGAAGAGTAGGAGGAGAAGGTTCATCTCGGGAAACTCTGCCTGTCTGTGCGCACGCCTCTTACTTGCACGATGTCTGGCGTACCCTTTCCTCCAAGCCCCTCCCCAGCCAGGCGTGCCTGTCCGTGCTGCCCGTAGTTCGCCATCAGGTGGCAAGGCACGCCACGGTGGCCGCAGTGCCGAAGTAGCCCAGCAGGACACCGTTCTGGGCACGCCCGGGGAGGGGGACAAGGAGGAGGAGGAGGACCAGAGTAAACCCATGATGCATCAACGATGCTGCATTTCAACCTCCCGTCACAAGTCCTATCCCCATTAGTCCGCACAAGCACCCTGTTCCATTACGGGAAGAGCGCCCCCCGTGAAACCCGAGCGCAACGTGGACCCGCAATTCAGGCGGGAGTTCCCTTTCGAAAGAACTTGCCATGCATCGTTCGAGTTAAAATGAGTACGACAGGGCAGGGCCATAAAGGCAAGGAAGCGCCCAGTGGATTTGGAGGAGGAGGAGAAGGAGGAGGCCCCGTGGTGCTAGAGGGAGACTCGACCACCGTCGCCCTGCCCACAGGAGGCCCGATGAGACGTGGCGTGAGTGCCAACGCCGTTGCTTCTGCTCCGTCTAGGGCCACGTTGTCGTCGTGAGTTGATGTCAGGACTCCCTTCCCGGAGGAGGAGGAGGAGGACGAGGAGGAGGAGGACGAGGAGTCATGAGGGAAAAAACACAGACACATACCATCGTCGACTCCCCAGAAAATATGGAAAGCATGTGAAGTGGAGGGGAAGCTGAACCTCCGGAAAAGATTGAACCTATGGGGAATCCTAGAGTTGTGTCTCTTGGGGTGTGTGTGTCCTTGGGCCCCCTTCGAGTAGGAGAGGAGGAGGGGAAGGAGCGGGCTGGGGCCCGTCGCCCTGCCTACCTTCCCTTCCCCCCCAGCGGGGGAGGATCGAGCTTCGAGGCGGAAGCAGAAGGGGGGGGGGATCGGGGTTCGTGGGCTGAGGTTTTTGGGGCGTTTGTCGTTTTGGTGGGGCATCGGGGAGTGGGCGACCCCCGGAAGTTCAAACTCATCAGCATGCATTGGGCGGCACGTCCAGGGGTCGATTCGTGAGAGGAGGGGAGAGGGGGAGGAGGAGGAGGAGGAGGAGGAGGAGGAGAGAGGAGAGAGGAGGAGAGGAAGAGGGGGAAGTCGGGGGGGGTGAACGGAATGCACGGAGAGAATGGGAAAAGGGGAAAGGAAAGCACTCCCCTCCTCCTCCTCCTCCTCCCCCCTCCTCCTCCTCCTCCTCCTCCTCCTCCTCCTCCTCCCCCCGCCCCCCGCCCTGCCTCATCCTCCCCCCCGCCCCCTCCGTGGGCCAGAAGGGCAAAGCGGGAGGAGAGACCCAGGCGACCAGCGAGGTGGCCAGCGTTTCGCCGTCGTGTGCCGCCAGAGGCTGGTCTCGGGCCCTGGAAGGGTCCCAAGAAGCAGCCAGGATGAAGACCCACCCATCGATCAGATTCTGGCTGACAGTCATCTTCTTCTTGCGTATCAGTAGTATCCTTTAGTGTTGCTATCAGTATGGACCGTATGTGCTTTATTGTTGTTCTTATTAGTAGTATTGCTAGTCGTATTCTTCCCTTGAGCCCGCCTTTCCCTCCTCCTCGATATCCTCCCCCCTCCTCCCCTCCAGCCCCCTCCGCATGAGAGGGGACCGGGCACAGACATCCGGCGGCTCGAAGAAGCATCGAGACGGCCCGGTTTTCCCACACATTTGGGCATCCTGGGCCGGTCTCGGGCCATGGGACAATCAGTGAACACCGCACAGCCCGAATTATTAGGGGAAAGTTTCTTGTTACGTGGGCGCATTGTTTGGCATTGCCTGGCACTGATTGGTATTGCGTTGCATTGTGTTCGATTATTTCGCGCTGTTTGGTATCGTGCTGTATCCCTTGGCGTCGCTTTGCATTGGTTGGTATTGCTTGCATTGTTTTGCGGTGGTTGGCAGTGGTTGGCGTTGCCTGGTTTGTTTTTCACTGCTTGGCATTGGTAGGCAGCAGGGAACCAAGACCAAAGAGCCTGGGAAGGCAGCAAGGAACTAAGAAAAGGAGCTTTAAGAGGGCAGTGAGGAGCCAAGACCGAGGAAGCTGGGGAAGGACGCGACCCAAGTCCAGCGAGCCGGAGGAAAGAAACAGAAAGCCAAGACCAAAAGGAGTCGAGGAACGCCGAGGGCCGCATCACCTAATCGGGCCCGTACCCAAAGGTTTCTTCCAGAAGCAAGTAAGAACCATGAACTTAGCTGCCTCGATACGCTCGTTTCGAAACGCAACAGCTATGTACGACCAGCATCCCTTACGCTGATCCCTGAGCGCGGCCGCTATCCGTGACGGTCGTCCAGGACACAGCAGGCGTGGCGTGTTCCCGACACCACAGGGGGTGCGCACGGGGTGATCCTTGAGGGCGGCCGCTATCCGTGACGGTCGTCCGGGTCACGGCAGGCGTGGCGTGTTCTCGACACCACAGGGGGTGCGCACGGGGTGATCCTTGAGGGCGGCCGCTATCCGTGACGGTCGTCCGGGTCACGGCAGGCGTGGCGTGTTCTCGACACCACAGGGGGTGCGCACGGGGTGATCCTTGAGGGCGGCCGCTATCCGTGACGGTCGTCCGGGGCACAGCAGGCGTGGCGTTTTCTCCACACAACAAGGGGTGCGCAAGGGGTGGTCCCTGAGGGCGGCCGCTATCCGTGACGGTCGTCCAGGGCACAGCAGGCGTGGCGTTTTCTGGACACCACAGGGGTGCGCACGGGGTGGTCGGCCGCTATCCGTGACGGTCGTCCAGGGCACAGCAGGCGTGTCGTCTTCTCGACACCACAGGAGTGCGCGCATGGGGGTGGTCCCTGAGGGCGGCCTCTATCCGTGACGGTGGTGCTCAGGGCACATCGGTACGCAAGCTTGCTATCCGTGCCGGTCGTGCTCAGGGCACAGTGGGACGCAAGCGAGGTGAGTGATATCAGCACCCAGCTTGTTTAGCCAGCCACCTTGGCTCACGCCACTTCGCCCGCGCAGGCTTTCACTTCGCAGCGGTCTCCGGGTCTCTGGCAGTTCTGTTGGCCACCTCTGCTCGGTCCAGTGGCACGCCTCGAAGTCAGCTGTCCCCGGACCCGGCGGAGATCGATTACCGTTGGTCGCAGAGGCCATTGTCGCGGAAATTGCGAGTGACAATCCAGCTCGAGAATTTTTTCGTCACAAGTGGATTCGAAAGCAGTCAAATGGTACATTGAGTTCGCGGCCAAGCGAGCTGCTGATCGGGAGTACTGGCCTCCGAGACGAGGCGGCGATGCAGCCTTGCGACAGGCGCTTTGCAGGTACTCTACGAACAGTGGATCCTACTGAGTGGACGTACCTACCCTTCGTCTGTTCGCACTGCAGCACGACATGATCGGCGGAGCTAGCGCCAAGTTCTACGGGGAGGTGAGCGACGTCGTCCCCTGGCGATGTCCGTTTCGAGCCGCCGCGGAGCACCATGGCAATCTCCTCCCTCCTCTCCTCTTGACTGGCGTCACCACTGGTATCGGCGGGGCAACGGCCACCGACATCATTTTCACGTGCTTCACTTCAGCTGTCATCACTCCATCCATGATATAAGTACGCGGGGTTCCTCGGTAGCGTAATTAGGGGGGGCGGGCGTTTCGCCTGAGACCTCCTCTCCATTTATGTCTCTGAAGCTTAAAAATGGCAACAGCTTCAGAAACGGAGGGCGGGTGGTTTTCACAATGTGGTTCTCGCCTTGGCGCGGCGCACATTCATTTTACAAGTTTGCAAGAGCTTCAGGGATTGAGGGCAGGTCGTTTTCAAAATGTGGCGTTCGGGTTAGCCCGGCGCACATTCGTTTTAAGAGTTCGCAAGAGCTTTACGGATTGAGGGCGGGTGGTTTTCAAAATGTGGTTCTCGCCTTGGCGCGGCGCACATTCGTTTAGAAATTTGCAAGAGTTTCACAGATTGAGGGCAGGTCGTTTTCAAAATGCGGCGCTCGGCTTAGCGCGGCGCACATTCGTTTTAAGAGTTCACAAGAGCTTCACGGATTGAGGGCGGGTGGTTTTCAAAATGTGGTTCTCGCCTTGGCGCGGCGCACATTCGTTTAGAAATTTGCAAGAGTTTCACGGATTCCCAGCATCAACGTGCCAGAAATGGCGGTTTGAAAAGATTCGGGATTTTGTTGGTGCAGCAATTTTGTGAATTCGCTGCGTTGGAGTCCCAGGGATGGTGTTCTGGCACGATTCAGGATGTCAGGACGCAGCCGTCAGATTAATCCGTGGCGTTAGAATCCCAAGAACCATGTTTTGGCATTTTTCGGGGTCTGCAAACGGTTGTCTTCCAAAGAGGCAGTTCCTTCAATGGAAATAAACCGTATCAGGGGCCTATGAAGAGGGAGCTTGGAGGGAGGGTTTATACCAGCATCGTTGATGACTCTTGGGTTTACACTGGTCCTCCTCCTCCTCCTCCGCCTCCCGATCAAAGTCCCTTCAAGATTAGCCCCCGAAGCCCCTCATGAGTTCCAGCCCGGCCAGTTTGGCATCCCAGCTGACCACGCATTGGGGCCCGAGGCAGGCCTGCGAAATCTATGCAAAATGCATGAGGCGATGGTATTAAAAGTTCTGGTTTTCAAGTGTATAAACAACCTGCGGGCTTCTGTGTTATACCCATTGGTTTGTTTTACACCCTCGGTGTGGTTTTATATTGTGTCGTTTTACACCCTCGACTTGTTCATATATTCGAAAACACATGTCGTCCCCCCCCCCCCGAGCCCTGAACCTTTTTCCAGGGATGCGTACTGGTCATGATTTCGACGTCGATCCAGCTGTGGAAACGAAGACTATTCCAAAGATGTCGATAGTCAAACCTCGATTATCGATCCTCTTGCTCGTCTCACCATTTCTCATTCCGAAGCCCTTTTTCATTCATGAGTCGCGAGTTAAGGGTCCCAGGTTGGGACACGATTCCGAGAGGATGGAAATATATAATGATACCGGACAAAAACCCGAATCGCAATGCTTTCGGGCTATAGGGCCATAGGACTACTATAGGGCTCTGTGGCTATAGGGTTGTAGGGCTATGGGGTTATGTGGCTATGGGGCTACAGGGCTATACGGCCGTAGGGCTATGACTTTGTAGGGCTAAAGGACTATAGGGCTACAGGACCATAGGGCTATAGGGCTATAGGCATGTAGAGCTATAGGGATATAGAGCTTCTGGGTTATACGGCTACAACGCTGTATGGTTATGGGGCTATGAAACTATAGGACTATAAGGCACCTGGGCACCCCTGGGCACCTCTGGGCACCCCCGGGCCCCCGCGCACCCCCGGGCCCCCGGGCTTCACCTAAACATATGAATCCGCTAGGATCCGTACAGAGGCAAGCTCTGATTGGAGAAAACCGGCCGCCAGGGTTGTTGGCCGACGCCCGGATTCGAGAGTCTCCGCCGCCTGCCCCAGTTCAAACATCGACCCCAGGACTTGCCCTGATTGCACTCTGGCAAGAGATGCGAGAGAGATCCAGCCGCGGCGACCGGAAGCCTCCAGGAGGCAGAGAAGAGTTCTAAGGAGCACAAGAAATTAAAAGTCGACCTTCGATCGTCGATGCTGCTGCCCCTCCCCTTTAGAGCGAGCAGGGGGGCTCGAGGAGGGGAGGCGATGGAGGATACGAAGGGAGGAAGGACAAGGAGGAGGAGGAGGAGGAGGAGCAGGAACAGGAGCAGGAGCAGGAGCAGGAGCAGGAGCAGGAGAATCGAGGTGGAGGACCGAGGAAGAGAAGGACGACGACGACGACGACGACGACGACGACGACGACGACGAGAAGACCCTCACCCTCTCCTCCTCCTCCTCCTCCTCCTCCTCCTCTCCTCTCCTCTCCTCCTCCTCTCCTCCTCCTCCTCCTCTCCTCTCCTCCTCCTCTCCTCCTCCTCCTCCTCCTCCTCCTCCTCCTCCTCCTCCTCCTCCTCCCCCAGACGATCGCGATCCGCAATCCGGCCAGACTCCTCCCGAGAGGCGGCCGCTGGCGACCTGCTCGAGGGGCGCGCGCTAGAGGCGGAGAAGCGGGCGAAGGAGAGCGCCGAGGCGCTGCGGCAGCGCGACGAGGCGGCTCGAGGGTCGAGGGATCGAGGCTCGAGGGTCGAGGTCCGAGGATCGAGGGCCGAGGCATCGTTGGAGGATCGAGGGCCGAGGCATCGTTGGCTCGAGGGTCGAGGATCGAGGTTCGAGGCTCGAGGTTCGAGGTCACCCGCGGGGGCGCGAGGATGCGCGCGCCTCGCGCCTCTCGGCCTGGGCCGGAGCAGCTGCCCCGCTCCAGCGGGGCTGCGCGAGGGCGCGAGGGCAGTCGCGGGGCGCGCGGCGCGGAGGTGGGTTGCCCCAGGGGATCGAGGATCTGATTCTTATCTCGAGGGAAAGAAACACACAGACACAATGAATCCTCGATTCCCCTGAAAATATGGGAAAATATGGGAAGTGGGGGGGAAGACAAAAACCAAGAAAATGTACGAAAATATGGGGAATCCTGTTATTTGTGTATATTTATCCGTAAGGGCTTCGCCCCCTGCCGCCGGCCCCCTCTCTCGGAGAATGGGCCATGGAAGAGCTAAGTCATGAGGCCTTGGCGCTGTCGTGAAGCAGTATCGAAACTTCATGCGAAGCCGATTCGCAATCAGCAAAACCAACTGATCACAAGAGGGGTTACCACACCTGGCGATTGGTAAGACGTGTATGGTTTACGGGCTTGGTTACCACACCTTGCGATTAAAGGGCCGAGGGAGTTCTCGCAGTTTGGGTTACCACGCCTTGCGATGGATGTGCGTGAAGGGTGGCACCGAATTTCAGAAATGTGGCAAATCCCCTGTGTTTTTTGGACCCTGACCCCGCGGATCTGCGTAAGGGGTGGCGCCGAATTTCAGAAATGTGGCAAATCCCCTTTGTTTTTGGACCCTGACCCCGCGGATCTGCGTGAGGGGTGGCACCGAATTTTGGAAATGTGGCAAATCCCTTGTGTGTTTTCCCCATATCCTAAGGATTGGGGTTCTTGTTATTACTCTGACGCCTCCCACGCGCGGACTCCTTCCTCCCGCTCGCGCCTCCCTCCTCCCAATGATAATCACCAGATAAGACAAGACAAGATAAGATACTACAAGATAAGATAAGATAGCACAAGATATGATAAGGTAAGATAAGATATATGACAAGGTAGGATAATAGATAAGATAAGACAGCCTATGGAGTAATAAGATAAGACAAGATATGATGCGATAAGATGAGTTGAAATAAGATAAGCTAAGACAAGATAAGAGATTTCAAGATAAGATAAGATAGAGGGTAATAAAGGTAAGATAAGATAGGACTCGATAAGATAAGATGAGACTCACTCTCACTCAGACTCACTCACAGTCACATTCACTCACACTCACACTCTCTCATGATCACAAAACGCTGCCAGGGGCATCATTTGGGAGCCCCAAGGGGGAGCCACCCTGGCTGATCTCACGAGCCCGTTCGCGCCGATTTTGGTGGGACGTCTCAGCTAGAATTGCCGTTTGGCCTCCCCAACATGTATCTCTTGAGAGCCTCATGGTCACAAAACGCTGCCAGGGGCATCATTTGGGAGCCCCAAGGGGGAGCCACCCTGGCTGATCTCACGAGCCCGTTCGCGCCGATTTTGGTGGGACGTCTCAGCTAGAATTGCCGTTTGGCCTCCCCAACATGTATCTCTTGAGAGCCTCATGGTCACAAAACGCTGCCAGGGGCATCATTTGGGAGCCCCAAGGGGGAGCCACCCTGGCTGATCTCACGAGCCCGTTCGCGCCGATTTTGGTGGGACGTCTCAGCTAGAATTGCCGTTTGGCCCCCAACATGTATCTCTTGAGAGCCTCATGGTCACAAAACGCTGCCAGGGGCATCATTTGGGAGCCCCAAGGGGGAGCCACCCTGGCTGATCTCACGAGCCCGTTCGCGCCGATTTTGGTGGGACGCCTCAGCTAGAATTGCCGTTTGGCCTCCCCAACATGTATCTCTTGAGAGCCTCATGGTCACAAAACGCTGCCAGGGGCATCATTTGGGAGCCCCAAGGGGGAGCCACCCTGGCTGATCTCACGAGCCCGTTCGCGCCGATTTTGGTGGGACGCCTCAGCTAGAATTGCCGTTTGGCCTCCCCAACATGTATCTCTTGAGAGCCTCATGGTCGCAAAACGCTGCCAGGGGCATCATTTGGGAGCCCCAAGGGGGAGCCACCCTGGCTGATCTCACGAGCCCGTTCGCGCCGATTTTGGTGGGACGCCTCAGCTAGAATTGCCGTTTGGCGTCCCCAACATGTATCTCTTGAGAGCCTCATGGTCACAAAACGCTGCCAGGGGCATCATTTGGGAGCCCCAGGGGGGGTCCACCAGGGGCTTCATAGTCACCAAACGCTGCCAGGGGCAGCATTTTGGCTTCCCAAAGAGGAGTCGACCCGGGCCTCCTAGTCGCCAGACACTGCCAGGGGCACCATTGGGATTCAGACTCGCACCCAGACTCACTCATACACAAGCTCACTCACACTCAGATTCATTTCTTCAGAGTCAGGCACACACAGACGTACCCATACTCAGACTCACCC